CATGACCTTAGTAAAAGTACACAGTATAGTGTGTACATGACTTTAGTAAAAGTACACAGTATAGTGTGTACATGACTTTAGTAAAAGTACACAGTTTAGTGTCTGTAGTGAGGCTCCATCCAGACTAACATTGTTTTGAAGGAAGAGACGATTTTAAAAAACCTCCGACCAGAAGTTTTTAGTTTCATGTGCGCAGGTTGCACGTGTCTGTACGATGACGACGCTCTGAACACATTAACATTTATTATAAAGTTTGACCTTAGATACTAAAGTCCTGTGGAGGTCGGGGTGCGGTGCTGGAGGTGGGGGGTGGGGGGTGATGCTGTATCAGTTCTGGTTTCTCCCTCGGCTGCAGTGAATTGGTCATGTGCAAAAACATATGTTTAATACATAGACGTTTAATAATTTATTACGTCATCACCTTGGTTAGGGTAGCGGGTGTCCTCCTTGAAAACAGTCCACCGGTGCTCTCACCTGCAGTCTGTCTCTGAGTCAGGAACACTGCGATCACCTGGTGGATCAGACAGCAGGCCGCGCCCTGCTCGGCTCTGATGGGGTCAAACTGTCGCTCTGGTTGTGTTTATTAAGCAGCGTCAGTTTAATCCCTGGATGACTTTAAAAACACCAAAACAACACGTTTTTTTCCCCCCATTCATTTTTACAGGGGATGGAAAGCCGTGGCAGTGACAGAGAACTTTAATCCATGTCTATTTGGTTGTCCACCAGAAAGCCTCGAGGCAAAATCTGTTTGTCCGAGACGAAAGCAGGTTGTCTCGGAGAAACAGAAACTGCTTTTGTTAAGCCCTGAGTGACTTTAGGACTCACCACAGAGGAACTGTTTGGTTTTATTTGGAAGAAAAGCTGCAGGACAACCTGTAGCTGTAAATACGTAAATTCAGTGTTTTAACTTTTGGTACAAACAGAAACTTACCATGACTTTTCTCCTGTTTTTCTCCAACATTTCTGACAATAACTGGAGATTGTTTTTATTTCAAACAACTTGTAAATATTTTAAGGTTTGCGTTGGTGAAATTGTCTGACACCAACCACAGCCAGTTGGTCCCTGCAGGGCACGCTCAGGGCAGCTGTGTCTTTATGCTGACGATCCTCCTGTTTCCTCAGAGAGTCAGCTGGACAGCATCTGTGAGCTGGACGACTACTTCCTCAAACCTAAACTGGAGGACAGCATCAGTCACCTGCCGACCATGGATGAATACCTGCAGCGCAGCGACACTGCCATCATTTACCCAGAAGCCCCGGAGGAGGCAACAAGACTGAGCACGCCTGAGGCCACTGGTCAGGAGGAGGGGGATCACGGTGAGAGGAACCACAGCAGCATTCATCAAACGAATGCATATCGCCCGCCATCGTTCATCCTACAGTTTTAAACAAAGATCTCAGAGTTTGTGTTGGGGATGGCTCAGTTACACCCACACCAAACCTTAGCTCAGTTTGGGAGCAAAGGAAAGAAGGAACACATGCAAATGTCCAGGTAGAAAAGTAAAACTAGAAAAATGTCTCTTGTAGTTAACACATTTTTAGTTTCCTTCAAAGAACCCAGTGAAGAAAGGTGGTGACAAGGCTTTTAATGTGAAGGCTGTCAGGAAGTAGCTTTACCACACGTAAAACGAACAGATCAACTGCCATCAGGGATGAAATCCAGCGAGCTGATTTTGACAAATCTTTTGTTTGTTTAAGTCACTGACCTTTGACCTCTGCTACAGACCTGCCGCTCAGCGCCACAGACGACTTTGCTCAGCTGCTCACGTGTCCCTACTGTGAACGTGGGTACAAGCGTCTGACGTCGCTGAAAGAGCACATCAGATATCGCCATGAGAAGATGGAGGAGAGCTTTACCTGCCCGCTCTGCACCAACGCCTTCGCCCAGCGAGCTCAGCTGGAACGTCACATGACCTCTCACAAGCCCGCCATAGAACAGGTGAGCACCTGCAACGAATCACATCCTCACTTGGGACATGTTTCCTTCAGGTCGTAGTCTCATTGTGGACAACATTCACCAACCTGCAGCGGTGACACCTGATTGGCTGCTGAATCAGTTGACCCATGATCTGACCGATGACGCAATCATCAACGGGAGTTACATAAATTGAGTTGGAACAACGGGGGTCATGTGACACGAACAGAAACCATCAAAGTTTGGCTCCGCAGCTCAGTTTGTAGATCCTCAGTCGTATCAATCATCCATCCATCCATCCATTACCTTTACCCGTTTATTCCATTTTGGGTCACGGGGTCACTGGTGCCCATGTCCAGCAATCAATGTGCGAGGGGCGGGATACACCCTGGACGGGTCGCAAGTCCATCACAGGGACACATAGAGACAAACGAGACAAACAACCATTCACTCTCTCACTCACACCTAGGGACAATTTAGAGTTACCAATCAGCCTAACATGCATGTTTTTGGTCTGTGGGAGGAAACCGGAGCACCCGGAGAAAACCCACGCATGCACGGAGAGAACATGCAAACTCCACCCAGAAAGGCCCCTGGACCGGGGTTTGAACCAAGGACCTGCTCGCTGAGAGGCAGCAGCTCTACTAGTTGCGCCACCGTGCTGCCCTCGTATCAATCAATCAAACTTTATTTATAGAGCCCTTTCCAGCAGCCAAAAGGTGCACAACGTGCTGCACAATACAGAAGTTAAAAACAAACAATTAAGAATTAAAAAACAGACAGTTAGTATCAGATAGTATCAGTTGAAATCAGTGAAAAATATCATGAAATTATTATTAAATTACAGAAATTAGCAAAACAGTGGATGCTTGCCAAGCGTATCAAATTCACTTCTTAGCATTTGTAGAACTCTTGTTTTTTTACGTATATAAAATAAATTATGTCCAAGTCTTCAGTCATTGGCACATTGTACATAAATTCACTGTATGGTTATTACGCTAGGAGCTTGGAACCAATGTGAGGGACTGTTCGTAACTTCTGGTGTTGCAGGCAGTGAAGAGTGGGAGCTGCTCCTGGACCAGGATGGGGACTAGTTGTACTTTTCAACCCTACATGTTTCATTAAAGTGCTCTGCCATGATATTCTCTGCGTACAGTTAGTATTTAAGAAATGCCACTAGATCTTTATTTTCTTTTTTATTTGCTCATGAGGGCAATGCAGCAACTTCAGGGCCTCGTCTTTTAACACAACACCTAACGTGAGACAGACAGCTAGATGTTTCAAGGCCCAACTACAGATGCCACTTTGTGTCATAGCTGTTGGTGAATGGTGGTCATCTTTAGGGAGGGAGGAACCAAAGGTTTTCACCTCCATGCTTATTAAGAATAGAGTACTATCATATATGTTTATGATTTATTATCATATAATACTTACTGGGAGGAAATGTAGAGTTAAATCATCACCAACTAAACAAATGTCTTTAGGTTTGGGGAATGATTGTTGGTTCAGAGCCTGAAAACATCTTTAAATGTGGAGACAATGTGGGAACAAAGTTGTGTAATTAGAACAAGCGTCCATTTATTACTTCCTGTTGACAAGCTGAATTGTAGAATTTTTATTTTACCTTCAATGATGAGCTTTAACTTCCTGTTTTTTATAAACCTCCAGCCATCTTTCTTGCATTTTTCATCCAGATTAAAGTATCATTCGTTCCTGTAACAGGAGCCTTGATCAGACCATCGCTCAGATAAAGAAATTTCAACACATTGTTCAGCCTGTTCTAGTGCCAGGCCTTCAGTCTTTGCTGTGTGGGTGGAGTTTCTTTCCATGGCTGTTTGTGGCCCCGCCCATCAGCTGCAGTGCATACTTTGTGGGCGGGGTTTCTTCCTACTACAGTGTTTGTGGCCCTGCCTAACTGCTGCAGTTCATTGTGTGGGCGGAGTTTCTTCCTTCTGATATTGTTTGTGGCCCCACCCACAGTTGCAGTATATGGTTTGTGAGCGGGGTTTCTTCCCAGTGCAGCCATGCTTGTTATGCAGCTTGTGAACTTCGCTCTGGTTGTCCAAGTCTGAAAACCTGGCGATGTTCCTGCTGCCTGACAACCGTTAGGATACAGAAGTCTCATGAAAGTCAGTATCTAAGCTCCGAGTCACATTACGAATGTAATGAGAGTTCCTGATCTGACCTGTTGGGCTCAGACCTCAGAGACACCCCACCACCTCTACCTGACTGACTGAACCAGAACCAGATGGTCTTTTGCCTGCTGGGTTGGAGAATCCTAATCCTCTAAGTGTGTTTTTATTGGAATTTATGTTATCATCTGTGTTCACAACAGCACACGTTTAAATCAGTCAGTCACATGACTCCCTGTTGTTTTTTATTTACAAACAGAAATATGAAGCACCTGTTCATTGTTTCGGTTAATTCAACTTTATCAACGATGTGAGCTGAGATCTCAAGGTCAGGGGCGGAGATCTGCTTCAGTTCAGTACTTTAACATTACATTTGATTTTATACCAATATCGTTCTTCAAAACGAGACTTCATAGTTGTTAAAACAGATTAAAAAAGATCTTTTTCAACGTGTTGAGTTTGTTAATCTGCCACTGATTAGTCATCAGTTTCTGATGGCTCTTTCTTTTTCTTGGTGTGTGCGTTAACCTGTGGTTAAAGAATGTCAGAGCTGCTGTTAAATGAATTAAATGATTCAGGTTCAGGTTTGTGTTTTATCTGAAACTAAAGGAGTCACTCTTCTAATAATAGGGAGGGCCCCTGACCGCGGCCCCCCTCCTTCCCTTCGCTGTTTATGTTTGTTTTTGTCTGTATTTGCATGTGAAATGTTGGGAATGCACCGTCAGCCCACACTGTTTCTCAGAAAGCCCGTCACACGCAGACATTCAGGAGATTCTGTCTCTGTCATGGTACTCGACTCCCACTCCTCCTCCTCCTTCATCTCTAATCGGTTTCTTCTCTCTGCAGCCGCCGCTGCTCAGCGAAGGAGCTGCCAACCGCAAGTTCAAGTGCAACGAGTGTGGAAAAGCTTTCAAGTACAAACACCACCTAAAGGAGCATCTTCGTATTCACAGCGGTGAGGAGAGCAACGTTTCTGCGCTGGTCCTTGTTTCAGTTTTCATCATTCTGTTAAAACAACATGTCAGACTGAACACAAGCTGAAATCAACTTTAGTATAATGAAAAGTCAGAAAGCACAAAGGGAGCAGGAACCTCAGCTGATTCATTGGTTTCATTTTTTTGAAGATAAAAATCAATGTATGGATATGCCTCTTGAACGTTTTCAAGAAAATCTAATAAACATAGTTAGATATTTCTAGATTTAAAGGAGAGGAGGCAGCTTTGATCCCCTGACCCTGATGAGAATATGGAACATGACAGAAAAGTTTTTTTTAGTTTTTTTTTTGGAGAAACCTAAATCAAGGCATTTTATTTTTCATTTCAGTCAAATGTGTACTTTTGAACTTGAAGATAAACTGTCAGAGACCCATCCAGATGAGGTGGTTTCTGGTTGTTGAGATGTTTGCCGTTGTATGGGAACATACAATGATGAGAATACATTATTATTATTATTATTATTATTATATAGACAAGTTCCATGCAGTTTGTCAATGAATGAAACTGATGGAAAAATTCAGATGAACCTGGGAGCTGAACATCCTCTTTATGTTGTGTTCCAGGTGAGAAACCGTACGAATGTTCCAACTGTAAGAAGCGCTTCTCCCACTCCGGGTCCTACAGTTCCCACATCAGCAGCAAGAAATGCATCAGTTTGATTGCTCTTAATGGACGAACACGTAACGGAAACAAGCCTGGCTCTTCCCCAAACTCGACAACCTCCTCACCTGGAAGCCCCGCCCTCGCTAATTTTCAGCACAAACTAGAAAATGAGCAACCGCTTGGCCCATCGGATCTGCCAGGATCACTGAACATCAAAGCCGAGCCAATGGACTTCAACGAGTATCGGCTGCTGATGGCGTCGCAACATGGGATTGGGAGACCAGTGGTCTACCTAAACGGTCGAAGCAGAAGTCCCATGGACATCCAGGAGACACCCCTTCAAAATCTGGGAGGTATGGGACTTGATCTGTCTCTTCTGGGTTACACAGGACCTCTTGGGAACAACCTGAGTGAGGTCCAGAAGGTACTTCAGATCGTAGATAATACTGTGTACAGGCAGAGGATGCATGGTAACCCTGAGGAGATATCCAAGTTCAGAGCCTACATGAAGGAGCTTGAGGCCCAAATGGAGGCCCAAACTGGTTTTCAAACGATGGGTCAATGTAGCCCCACCAAGAGCATCATTGACTACACACTGGAGAAAGTCATTGATGCCAAGAATCTGATCAATGAGTCCAAGATGCAAATTGATGTTAAAAAACAGAAATCTTTTGATTTGATCAGTAAAGCGAAGTCCCTTGATGGACAGAACCAGTTCCTGTCGTTTTCCTGTCAATATTGCAAGGAAACCTTTCCTGGGCCCATCCCACTTCACCAACACGAGCGCTATCTGTGCAGAATGAATGAGGAGATCAAAACAGTCCTTCAGCCAGCAGAAAGCAGTCCTGCCAGCTGCAGAGGGCTGATGGCTAATGAACTGTCTTCTACTGAGAGGGAAACCAGTCCCACCAGTTCATTGAAGAAGCACATGTCAGTGCTCAATGGCTACTTTTCCATGAACACTGAACCCAACTCTGAGGAATTGCTCAAGATTTCACTCGCTGTTGGCCTTCCTCAGGAGTTTGTCAAGGAGTGGTTTGCCAAGTCAAACAGTCAGAACTATTATATGGACAGTTTGAGGACAAAGTTGTCCATTCCTGGCCACTGTGAACTAGACCACAGCTTAAGCCAATCTCCCGTCTCACTTCTTGCCATAAATTTACATGATGATGTCACTAACAACAATGCTGCCCACAGACTTACAAAGGCCAACCAGTTTACAACCAACACACAAACAAAAAGGGAAAAACCACTAGACCCCACAGACCTCTTGAAGAACAACACTCTGTCACCCTTAAACCTTTCATCCACCTCATCCAAAAATTCCCAGCTTACGTCTTCCACTCCAAACAGCCTGGAAGCCCATGGAGACATACCCCTGGATTTGTCTCTGCCCAAACACATGGCACAGGAAAGACTTGGACCCAATGGTTTCATCAATGGACCCAACAGGGAGCTATCAGGACACCAACAAGAATTTGGGCCTTTAGAACTTGTCAACATCAAGAAGGAGGATCTAGGTTCAGATGGGGGAAGTAACTCCATCCACCAGCTGGGGAAGAGCACCAGCCCCATCTTTGGGAATAATCCCTTTGCTGCTGGCCCTGTCTACACCTCCCTATCACCTCACAGAGTTTTTCCTCCACCCACTTTCATAAATCATTCTCAGACTGCCATCCCAGGCCTCAGGCCCTACCCAGGTCTTGATCCTATAGGCTTCCTGCCCCACATGACCTATACCTATTCTGCAGGAGCTACATTTGCCGAACTGCAGCAGAGGAGAAAGTACCAGCGAAAATCAATTTTCCAGGTAAAACCAGAGCAGATTGTTTCTAATGTTCCCACAACTTTAATAAGAATAGACCTGACGAGTGCCATTGAGAGCCTCAACTCTGGCAGTTAATAAAGGCTCATGTAGTATTTATCTGATTTGTAGGCTATTAATTACCATGACTTGTGGTTGTGCTGGATTTTGACTTTAAATATTTGAAGATTCAAGAGCTTAATCTTTAGAGTTAAAAGTTGGTACACTGTACATATTTATTTGTGGTGAAACATGAAAACTCTGTTGATGACCTGAGCTCAGTTTTACCTGTTTACCAATGAAGGGTCTAAATAAGGCTCCAAGAGATTAAATTCCTGCTCACGAAGTTGGACCTTCAAAGGTTCAGAAACTTGAAGGGTTCAAAATGGGTCTAAACAGTCAAGGCCATGATCAACCTTTTATTATTTTTATTTATTTTTTTTGGTGCTTTGATGCAGTGACTGAGCAGAAGTTCTCAGCATGACATTAATGAAGGCTTTTAGGGTTTTCTTACATGAGAAAACACCCATGGGAAACTAACAGCACGTCACACAATAAATAGGTCCACTTTCATATTTTGTGAATGTTCTTTTGTGCTTTCATAGCAAAAATACAACTGCAATACTTTGCAGATTAGACTGAAGTTGACAGGATCTCAGACCAGAGAGAAATACTGATGGAGGTACCTTTAGTGTGCATCTTTATACACGTTATTAAACAACAGTAGACAGTGGTCTCTAGGGGTAATGATGGAGACAACATAACTTTATAAGAAATTTCTCTGCTGGCATTGAATGACAGATCAGAAAAGTGGGGTGATGTAACAACCAGCTGATGCATTGTAGAAAAATTAAACTCACTTCATGATTTTCGATCACTTATCAACCCCATAAAGCTTGACACTCACCGTTCCTCCATGAACTCCTGGTCTGGTTTGGGTTCTTCAGAGTACAAACTGTTGCCAAGGCAGGCAGCGTTTCACCAATAGTTATTTCTTGGGGCGATGAAGTAGTCCTGTGTTGCACTTGTTCATTCATTTGAAATACAGACACTCCCTTTTAACCGATCAGAATAGTTACGTTGTTTTAACCAGTCAGAGTCCACTTGTTCTGACTAAGATTTGGACTTTGCTGTATGTTGGTGTAAATTTTGCCTTCCAAAACTTGTTATATCTAAATTTAAAACAGTTCAAATTAAAAGTTACCTAACAGTAAACTTTGTTAATTTATATTTTAGAGTAAAGTACAGTTAGTAAGTTAAATAAAGTTAGGTACAAGAAAGTTAGCTCAATGTAGTTTAAGTAGACGTTATAAAGTTATTATAGTTATAAATAAAATGAAGTACGGTTAAATTTAGTTAAAGTTAAAGTTAGTTTAAGGAAGTTAAATGTAGATATAAATTTAGTTTAGGGTAAATCTAACGGTTGAGTCAGGTCCTTTGGATTGTGTTCTTTGTAGATAGTTCTTTGACTCACCCGTGTTAGATTTATCTTCCTGGATTATTGAGCATCAGGGTAGTTTAGGGTGAAGTTAGTTAAAGTTAATAAAATGCTGTAGAATACTGTTTGGTCTGAAGGTACCTTTAAATCTGAAAGTCCTGCAGGTTGAAACGCAGCTCTGTTTCAGGATGGGCTCTGAAATAAGATCTGAGTTTACCTTTTATTCACGCTCCTACACCTCCCTGTTTCAAATCCCCCCACTGTTTTTAAGAGTCTCCTGGATGAAGGATTTACCCAGGTTGGGCCCTTAAGCCCTGTCCAGACTTGGGATCATGAAGGCAGGAGGGGGTGTCTCAGAGCGTGAAGGCGGCAGGTGTGGGATTATGATTGAAGCTGTGTCTCTGTCTCAGGGGGGGCTGTTGGACGGGACGATGGACCCTCTGTCAGACAGCGACTCTCTGCTCTCCAGGAAGAAGATTAAGAAGACTGAAAGTGGTACGTACGCCTGTGACTTGTGCGACAAAACATTCCAGAAGACCAGTTCCCTCCTAAGACACAAATATGAGCATACAGGTATATATAACACCTAGACATTTCTCCCCCCTCCCCTCTCACTGCTTCTATTTGTCCCTCCCTTTTATTTTTCATGTTTTCAAACATTTTCCTTCTTTTTTAAATTTTCTCATGTAACTCTTTTGTTCTTTTGAGTTAGAGTCCGGTTTGTTTCTCTGCGAGTCAAGACCTTGAACATGTTCCATTTTTCAGGGGGTGGGCACACACTGAATCTCAGCATCAGTTTATTTCTGTGAAGCAGAAAGAATAATGGAGGAGGGGTATTGCTATTGTTGGTTCATAAGAATGTTCATCTAGAAAACAGAACCCAGTCTACCAGAAGGGTTCTAAACAGAACCTGATCCAACCAAAGAAATTCAGAACTGCAGAGGTTGGTTTTTCTGTACTAATTTCTGTGTGAAGTACAAAATCATTGACCCCGTCCTGACTGAGGTGTGGATGGATGGATCTTTACTGTCAGTTCAATTCAGTTTATTTATATAGCGCCAAGTCACAATCACAGTGGGTTTCATGGTCAAATATAACTGTGTATCATCAGCATAACAATGAAAATGTATTCCATGCTGTTTAATAACTTTACCTAATGGAAGCATATATAAAGTCAAGAGTATTAGTCCAAGCACTGAACTCCACGACTAACTATGGTGTAAGTAGAGGATTCATCATTTACATTTACAGACTGGAATCTATCAGATAAATATGATTTAAACCATTTTAGAGCCGTTCCTGTAATCTCAATATCATATTCAAGCCTCTGTAGTAAAATATTGTGATCAACTGTATCAAATGCAGCACTGAGGTCTAACAAGACCAGTGTAGACACAAGTCCATTGTCTGAGGCCAAGAGAATATCAGCTCTCAGAAGTGTTCTGGGGGTATCTCAGTTGTTATCACTCCCATCTGATTTAAACAGATTCTGGCTCAAAAACATTTACTCACGGGGGCGTTTCACAAGGAAAAGTTCTCTTCTGAAAAACAGAGCAGAGAAAGTATGTCAAAACACATTATAATTGAAAACAATAATCAACATTATTCATGTTCACACCTGTTGTATACAAATTTCATTTTTGATTTTGTTGGCTTTTTTTTCTTAAAAACCTAGAAGAATATAATAAACATTAGTCAGACTGCAGCCGACTCTGAGTCCAAGGACACTGAATATGTGACAACATCAAATGGATGGTAAATGGACTGTACTTATATAGCACCTTTCTATCTTATTTCAAGATACTCAAAGCGCTTTACATTACAATCTGTGCCTCATTTACCCATTCATACAGCACTCTACTTGATCTCTACAAAGCTAATTGAACAAATCATTCTAAAGAGACTAATCAGTGCTTTATTACATTCATACACTGATGGGACACACATCAGAGGCTATGAGGAGTTCAGTGTTTTGCCCAGGGACACTTCGACATGTGACTGCTGATGAATTCGAACCCCCAACTCTCGCATTGGAGGACGACTGCTCTAACCACTCAGCCACAGCCGTCCCCCCCCTTTTTTTTTTTTACATTTTGTATGATTTTATTTTGCATATTTAAACATGTGCATTTCAGGTTGACAAAGAACATTTAGTGAGCATTCAGTGGTCGGAGCAGACCAACAGAACCATAAAGTCCATTACATTTCCTGACATGCCAGCATAATGGCACACTGCAAACACTACAGATGACCAGATCCCACACGAGGCCATTTTTATAAAGACATCTCATTGAGTTGAGGTAAGGAATTTGCAACCATTGCCACAATTTAAGTGCTACATCTTCAAATACACACGATGGGGATGAAGTTTGCGAAGCATGTGGAATGTTCAGTGCATGGGAGGGCTGGACTTCATGAGGACTCAGATTTCTCCTGTTCGATGGTTTCTTTGGTCAGCAATGTGTTCTTCTCACGAGTCTCAGTCTTCTTCAGTTTGGTGTTGTCGAAGGTTTCGACCTCTTTCACATCAGGTTTGTCAGACATAGTTGCAGAGGTTTCCTCAGAGAAATTACACAGACTGCTTGTCTCGAAGTCGAAGGAGCCGAACATCAGACATTATTCAAGTCAAAAGTAACTTTAAAGAAAACAGTTCAGGCTGAATCTGGTAGAAGACAACCCAAAAGGTCATAGGTCAGGGGAGTGCATCTTCATGCTACATAGAATATGGTAACATGGAGCGCTGTAGCGATGGCGTCCTCTGTTGATCTATTAGCTCTGTATGCAAACTGAAGCAGATCCAGTGTAGACGACAGGCAGGGTATGGTTGGTGACGCACCAGTTTTTCAAACACTATAACAATTGATGTTAGAGCTACTAGCCAATAGTCATTGAGGCTGCTAATGTTGGTCCTTTTGGGCATCAGAACAATTATGGCCGACTTATGACTGAGACAAAAATACATTAAAAATCTTAGTGAAGACCTCAGTCAGCTGGTCTGCATGTTCTTGGAGGATCTTCCCAGTCACTCCATCTGGTCCAGCAGCTTTTCTGGGATTCACTGCCCTCGGAATGCACCTCACCTCATGTTCCTGCCTTGTGATGCTAGGGTTACTCCAGTAAGGTGGTAGAGCCGTGGCTGCCTCAGGTCCTTTTATTTCAACCATACATAAAAATGGTTTAGCTCCTCCACAAGGGCAGCATTTCCCTCCATCGCATTGTGTTGCTGGACTTATAGTGGATGAGATGCTGGACTCCCTGCCTCACATGTTGCATGCTGTTGCTGTGAAAATGGTCTTCCACCTTCTTCTTGTACACTGTCTTTGCCTCCCTGATGCCTCTCTTCACTTCAGCTCTGGCCACAATGTACAATCATCCCTCATTAAATCGCGGTTCATTTCTTGCGGCTTCACTGTATGGCAAGTGTTTTAAACCCACTTTTTATATTGCGTGTACTGTACACACTGTGCAGTACTGTACACTCATCTCATCATCATCTTCATCTCTATCACCAAAGTGTTTAAGAGCATATGAAGTGTTTGTAAGAGAGTGGGAAAAGTTTGTTGGAGCGTGGGAAGGGTTTACAAAGCCTTACACCTATATAAATAATACAATAATTGTAATGCTGCTTCTTCATGGATTTTCACCTGCAGTGGGGGTCTCTGGAACGTAACCCCGCGATAGGTGAAGGTTCACTGTACTCTGCTCTGTCTCAAGACCTGAAATTGGCATCACTTTACCTCAACATGATCTGGACCTCTTTAGTCATCCAGGGTTTCTTATTGGAATACAACCAAACACATTTTTTTAACAGTGACATTGTTGACACAGAAGCTGACATGAAATCACAGATGTGGTGTGTTCCTCCAAGTCGTGATGGTCAAATTTGTACCAAACTGTCCTCTCAAACCAGTCCTGCAGCTGATATACTTCATGCTATGACTGGTGGAGTTCTCCTCCTGAGAGGGGTGTATGCTGGAATCAACAGTACAGATGTGTGATCTGACCAACTTAGGTATGGTGAGGGGATTACTTTGTAGACTGTTTGAATACTGCTGTAGGCTTTGTCCTGTGTTTTTACACCCCTAGCTGCACATCTAATATGTTGCAAGAATTTGGGGAACACTTGTCAGTTCAATATGATTAAATTCTCCATGATCTCCTAAGTAAGTTGTACCTGACACCCTCCTTATTAATTTGTGGTACCTGAGACCCCCTCCTAATTGAGTTTTGGTACCAGACCTTATCCTGATTAAGTTGTGGTACCTGACCCTCTGCACCCCCCAGCAGTAAAACTGAGCCAGGGTTTTGATGAGTTTTGTTCTGAATTGGGTCTCATCCAAGTGATAATAGGTCTTACCTTCTTCCTTTCTGTCAGTTGCATCATCCATCGCTCATGTTGGCCAAATGAAGTCATCCTGAGCAGAAACAGTAAAGCATCATTTAAACCCACAGAGTTCATGTTTAATTCATCTACAGAACCACAGAGAAACAGGAATCTGGTCCTGCAGAACCACAGAGGTCCTGTTTAATGTATCTGCAAAGCCAAAGAATTACACAAACCTTGTCCTGCATAAATGTTCTGAAGGTTTGATGTTTCCTGTGAGTGTCTGATCAGCAGCTTTCTGAGGTTCTCTTTTGACTTCTGCTCCATGAAAACCTGAACTTTGACCTCTGAACTCTAGACCTGCAGCATGTTGACCTTCAGTTCAGTTTATAACAAATGGTGACCTAAGGACAGTTTCCACAGAGAGAAACTCTAGTGTTAGTGTTGAAAATCAGTTTAAGATCATTACAGCTGTGAGCTTAAAGGATTTTCTGTATAAATTATTTTATAAACGCTTCTAACAAGAGTTATGCATCATTAAATGATTCTTTTGGGGTTAATGTAACTCTATTGTATATCCTTGTGGTTTTTATACAAACTGTGTTACAAAAATGCAAATATTTCAACAAATTTGTTTACAACTGAACTCAGCCATAAACTAATCACAGCTCATGAGTTAATTCAATTCAATTCAGTTTATTTATATAGCGCCAAATCACAACAAAGTTGTCTCAGGGCACTTTACAGAAACATTCACATACATAAAAGCCAATTAGTAAAGTTCTCTATCTAAGGAATCCAGCAGACAAATTGAATCTTGGCTTCATTGCAGTCTCCCATCCTGAGCAAGCACAGTGGCAACAGTGGAAAGGAAAAACTCCCTTTTAAAAGCAAGAAACCGTTAGGAAGTTACCGTCCACTACTCCTGAGTTACCGTTCTCTACCCCTCTTGAGTTAGCATTCTTCACCCCTGAGTTACCATTCACCACCCCTGAGTTACCATTCTTCACCCCTCATGAGTTATCATTCTTCACTCCTCTTGAGTTACCATTCTCCACCCCTATTGAGTTACCATTCTCCACTCCTCTTGAGTTACGATTCTTCACCCCAGAGTTACCATTCTTCACCCCTTATGAGTTATTCTCCCCCTGTCTTGATTTACCATTCTCCATCCCTCTTGACTTACCATTTACCACTCCTGAATTACCATTCTTCACCCCTCATGAGTTATCATTCTTCACCCATCTTGAGTTACCATTATTCACCCCAGAGTTACTATTCTTCACCCCTCATGAGTTATCATTCTCCACCCCTCTTGAGTTACCATTGTCCACCCATCTTGAGTTACCATTCTCCACCTCTCTTGAGTTATCATTCTCCACCCCTCTTGAGTTACCATTGTCCACCCATCTTGAGTTACCATTCTTCACCCCTCTTGAGTTAACGTTCTCCACCCCTCTTGAGTTACCATTCTCCACCCCTCTTAAGTTACCATTCACCACCCCTG